TTCCTCCGCCACCTCAAAGATATCACCCTCGAGCACGCAAGATTGCATAAATGACAGTTCAACAGTGAAGTTGACATTTCATCAGTTATATTGGTGTCAGCGACTTCCAACTCACTCTGAACTTAGGTGCCATGTGATGGTAGAATTTTCATTTTTATTGCTAAATTGGTTGAAAACCAGTCCTATTTTGGCTGAATGCGTGAACGGATGTAAAAAGATTATCAATATTTACTGGGCTCAAGAAAATTGTTGACCATAACAAATTTTTGACTGTTTGATTTTGGTCGGCCTCCCCCTCCCCTCCTTTCACCCTAAAGTATCGAAAGAGCGAGAAATGCTAATAGAAACCTTAAAAACCCTTAAAACATGAATTTGTGTTGAACTATTTCATTGGCCGCTTTACTGTGTACCGAGGTTCCTTTAAACCCCTAAATCTGATTTTTGCGGAAATCGGGGGTCACCTCAAAGAAGCATCCGACAAATATGGTTGTACCGGTTTGTACCCTCTGTGCTTTGGTATATGGTATCTTTAGGATTTATGCTTTCTAAAAGTACCAAAGAGAACCGCGCAACGAACCGCAATGACACTTTTCCAGTCTACAATATTCTGAAAAATTCATTTTTTAAGGCTTATTTTTCGGGCAACTTTGATCTCACGTCCTGCTGCTAAAAATCAATATTTTTGGGATCTGCAAAAGCGAAAATACTTGTCATACAATGGAGTTCATCAGTCAGATGCATATAATAGTGTGATCATCACGAGTGCACTGTGAAATAAGTGAGTATACAACGCGCGCCTCAGGTTGTAGAAATCTGGGTTCATCACATTCCACATGCTACATATCTATCTACGTGGAAACCGCAGATATAATGAATATTTTTGATATTCCCATGTAATTTCCTTATCAGTAGGTATCTGAGCATCGATTAAGATGTTTCTGAAGAGGGGAAAAAAATGTCGAAAAATTCTATTTCGCGCGTCTACGGACCCGATCTGGCCCATAGTGGAACGCTCGCGAGCTTGAAAAATTGTTTCCCCGTATAGTAATGCATTGGAGATACAAGGCTGTTCACGCGCACCGCGCCAGCGCCGAACAGGTTCAATCCTGTCGCGTGACGTCGCAGCATTATAGACGAAATTTCAGGTTTTAGGGGGTATTTTTCGACGGATTTTGGTGAAATTTGCTGGCGGTGGGTACCTTTCGACGGGAAATTCGAAGTTTTGGTCAGATTTTCAAAATTCCAAAATCCAAGATGGCGGCCGTGGCCTAGAATGCTAAGTCGGCTCCTATTCGATTGATTTTCCAGAAACTCGGTATCCGTAGGTATTTTTCGACGGGGAAGTTGAATTTTCGGTCAGATTTATAAAATTTCAAAATCGAAGATGGCAGCTGTGGCCTAATATGCTGTCTTGGCTTCACTTCGATCGATTTTTGTAAAATTCGGTATCAGGGGGTATTTTTCAACGGGAAACTCGTATTTTTAACATATTTTCAACTTTTCCAAATTCAAGATGGCGGCCGCGCTCTGTATTGCGGTCTCGGCTCCTGGACCATCAATTTCTGTGAAACCTTGTGAAAAGGAAGATGAAGACAAAGGTGTTGTCTTCTCATCAATGTTGAAAACTATAGGGGGTCATGGCGGCTCGCAGAGCGAGTCGCAAGTTCATTGCGAAGCGAAGAACTGGGGTCCAGGGACACTTCCCGNGCTAGCCGTGATTAGCTCGCTTTGCGAGCTAATCACGGCTAGTCCTTCCTATAAAGCTAGGAGCCAATAATATGCCTTTCTTGCTTTTAAATTGGGTAAGCAACCTCTCAGCTTCAATTTCATAAATACTTAAATATCTGATCAGGATTCTCAACTTTTTTACTCCATCAAAATTGAAAATCTGAATTACCTGTGTCTTTAAATCTTAACTTAAAGCCACTCTTTGAAACCTTTAATTTAGCAATTCTAAGGCAAACCTCCTGTATCCTGTTATTCCCAAAGTTTAAACATCTCATGTTCTCGGTCATTTCTTAAATGTATTTTAAATGTCTTCTTGTTATCTCTTACTTTTGGTCAAGAACCCTCAGCTTAGGTGCCTAATAGCATAAACATAAACGTCTTTTAAAGGAGCCAATTAAATTTTATAGCACTGAAATGTATTTATTAATATTAATAATACATGATAACAAGCCCCATTTTTGATAGGCATTAACAGCGACAGTTTATAGATGAAAGACCTAACTTGTAATATTTAAAAAATGAATGAAATAAATAAATCCTTGCCAGAAAGACACACGATAAAAATTGTAGGGTAAACACATTTTAAAAATTAAAAATGCAATTTTTTCTACAGTATCTACCACCGGCTTCCGTAATTATTTGACATAAGGTTATTTCAATTATGAAACCTTCAAAAATGAACGTGAATACTGTAGATGTCTTGAGCATTTGGTCCTTATACTCTAAAGTATTTACCTAAACATGCTACATGCCATTTCATTGAGGATTCACTTTTTTGTCTGAAGCTCTACCTTCCCGTAATTTTTTCCTTGAAACTCAGTGCAATGATAAACGTCTCAAGATTGTATTTCATATTTTTATCAGCGAAAAAGTAACCAACAGCAGAATATGTACTATGACTCTGAAATTTTCTGGATAGCGTTTTTCTATTGAATTCTTGTTCTTGTAGTTCCAGCATGAGTGAAAGATTTTCCATTTCATTATCTATTTCCTCGTAAAATTTTGCAAGAAACCCCAAAATGGTAGCCGGAGCTCTCGGCGCTAGATGTTTTGGTGCAAAAGTTTTGGCGAGAGGGGGTTTCGGTGCAAGATTTTTCGGCGCGGAGCTTTTGACATCCCTTTTATTTATGGAAGGCTGCCACCATGCTCTCTCATCTCTTCTCATGTCTAAACATCCTACTATTTGGAAGCTGATTTAAGCTTTGAAAAAAGAGGAAAGCCTCACCAGCATTAAAATCGATGGCTATATTGCCAGAAAAGAAAGCAAACAAATTAAGAAGTATGCGGACCTCACCAAAAGCCCAGTGGAAATTTGTCAAGGATTTGCCAACACTCTAACTCTTGATCATCTTTGAGGCATTTCTCATAACCTCAGTTTTTAAGTAATTATTTACTTCATCAAACGTTTATAGTACCACTTGCTTGTGTGCAAACAAGACACGAGAGATGTACCTAAAATTATTCAGCGCCCTGCCACTGTCGAATCCTGTCACAATCTCCTCAGTTTTTAAGTAACTATCTGTAACTGGTTTATCCATTTTTATTCAACCAAGACACATTTAGGAAAGGGGGGAAAAAGTTGCTGTATTTTACTTTTTGAATAGTAAGTAGAATCTTGAAACTTTTATCAACTAAACCTACTATAGTTTGTTTCACAAAACCTGAGACTTTTTATTCAGCATTAAAATCCGTAAGTGGCAACGCATCAGTCTCGGACTTGGGTGACCGGACTGCTCGCCGGACACCCTCTTTTGTTCAGCGACCATAGGCCGGCAAGCAGTCCATTGTCAGGATAGAAACAATGGGCACCCTTCATCCCTCCTTAATGAGCTCTAGTACCCAGACCAACATTTTTTTGCTGTTGAAAAAATCATCTTTAAATGCTAAAATTTAGTTTGAGCGCAAAATTATGATTGAAATGTACTAAAATTCCGTCCAATTATCTTAATTTTAAGCTGACAAAGGCATTTGAGTATGACTGCAATTCGCCACAAAATTACGTATATCGGCTCAAAATTAAGATAATTGGACGGAATTTTAGTGCGTTACAATCGTAGTTTTGCACTCAAACTGAATTTACACACTGTGTTACAGTAACTAACACTTAAATTATGTTAAAAGCGCACTAAAATTTCGTCAAATTATCTTAATTTTGAGCTGATATACGGCATTGGCGTGTGACCGTGATTCGCCGCGAAATACCGTTTGTCAGCTCAAAATTAAAATCATTCGACTAAATTTTAGTGCATTTTCATCATTATTTCACGCTGGAACTAAATTTTCTCGCCAAAAGATGAATTTTTCAGCGAGAAAAAAAGTTCAGTCCGGGTACTAGGGCTCATTAAGGAGGGATGAAGGGTGCCCATTGTCCCTACCCTCACAATGGACGGGTTGCCGGCCTATGGTTGGTGAACAAAAGAGGGTGACCGCTGTCCGGTGAGTGGTCCAGTCACCCGAGTCCGAGACTGAAGGGTTGCCATTTATAGATTTTAATGCCGAATAAAAAGTCTCAGGTTTCGTGAAACGGACCATAACGCCGTGGATACTACTCGTCCTTTCCGTTCTGCCATCGATCAGGAAGAAAAGGTAAGCACGTTCTGACGATTTACTACTCCCCCCTCTCCTAAGATAGAAACACGAAAGAAATCGCTGAAAAATCTAGCACCACAGAACCTGGCGCTGAAAACCCGTGGAGTCGAAATCCCCGCGCCGAAAAATGTGGCGCCGTAATATCCGCGAACCCACAAAAATGGCTCAGATTTTTGCTGAAATAAACCCTACAACTGTCACTCACATTTTCCATCTACGAGTTTTTAGCCCCTTGACTTCCTGCTTTCGTCGACGCTTCTCTTGTCCTCTCGCCGTTGAAATGTTAAGAGATTCTTTGACAGAACAAAAAGAACAAGTAGAGTGTTAAAAGTGTTCTTGCTGACAGAGGAATGTTCGGTAAATATTTTGGCACCAAAAAATTTTGAAAATATCCAACCTGACACAAATTATGATGCTTTCCCAGCCTGTCTTACCTTTATATCAGACCATGATGTAAGAATCTCACTGTAAGTTTTTTTTTTTTTAATTTTTATTAAACATCTTTAAAGGTCCACGGAAATCATAATTGTTAAAAGATAAATAAAAAATCAGGTGCCTGGAAGATTTGGAAAAGAAAAATCTTCATGATCATGAACGTCCTACATTTTAATATTGTTACTCATGATTTTATCTTGATTAACACTCTACAATTTTTCAGTCAGTTCCTTCATTTTTTGTTACAGGTAGCAATCAAGATTATTAAAAAATGTAAAATCAAAACGGAAGCTGATCTAATTAGGATACGACGTGAAATTCAGATTATGTCCTCAGTGCGACATCCCAATATCATCCACATTTATGAAGGTGTGTAGTTTTTCTCTTCTTCATCCGAAGTTTTTTAATGCAAGGTCCCTTGATGAAAATCTGACATTTTGTCTCTGAATTTGTTGAAACCACCCATTTTATTGTTAAGTATAAGGAGTAGGGATGTATATCTATCATCTACATTTGACAGTGAAGGAGATGTACTATTGAAAACGAGTGTGTTTTTTTTTATTCGTAATAGAAGTATAATTATATTACATCATATTTTCACCATATTTTATTTACCTTATAAGTCTTGAAACAAATTTTACTTACAATTTAAAGGACCATATTACAATAATGAACCACTCTGATCATATAAACAAGTATACACAAAATTGATGAGGAAGAGAAATAAAAATAAAAAAAAAACAAAACAAAATAAACAAGACGTTACAATAACAGAACAGACAAGAAAAAGAGTGCATAAGTGGCAAAAGCCAAGTATTAATAAACAAGACATTACAATAACAGAACAGACAAGAAAAAGAGTGCATAAGTGGCAAAAGCTAAGTATTAATAATGATGTAAGTCTCCTACTGCTAGTAGGAACTTTGGTTTTAAGATGCGGGCCAATATTGCTATCGACAAAGGCGGGGACCAACGATACGCAAATAAAGGTAGTTAAATTTTAAGGAAGTCTGGGATGACTGAATCTTGTGGTTTTCTTCTCTTTTAACGGCGCAGATCCCCTGCCCTATCAAGGAGCATTGGGATTGGAACTTCCAGATTGGGTTGGGCGGACGGCAGTGGCGTGGCGTCGCGTCCATAGGTTCGCAGTGTTCCCCGAACACCCTAAAATATTTTGAAACAATTAATAAATAATGGCTAAAAGTGTGCGAAACAATACAGAATTCAGAATAGTAGATCGCATCGGGCGCTTGGCTTCCAACAGCGGCATGCGGCGCGGCAGAGAGAGAAAATCCTGTAACGCGTGGCCCGCACCGGCTACCGAACCTGGATGAGGGCGAGAGGAGACCGGGCGGGGTAAGCTTAGGGTGCGTCAAAAAAAATGAAAGTCTGAAATGTTCCGCTCCATCGATGACGTTTGGTAAAAAAACATGTTTGCCAAAATTTGGGCCAATTTCAACCATTTTAAATGGTGCCAAAGGTCAATTTTGTGTTGAAATTATGCTATTTTGGTTTAGACCTCGATTTCGCACAAAAAACTCGATTTTACGCTGAAATCGTGCGTTTACGAGAAAAATGCCAAAGAACTCGACTTGTAGAGGATGAAATTTTACACTAGGAAGACGTCTTTGTAACCGATAAAAATCAAATTGAACTAGAAAAACTCAACTCGGTATTTATTTTTTTGGTCCTCAGAATTTCCGAGGTCTTAGAAAGTAGAGGTGTAAAAGACTCATTTTTCACGAAAATAAGTCGAAAGAGGTGTAAACGAACTGTAGGCAAGTGTTGAGGATGCAAATGTCATCAGAACTTCCTCAGTTTCAAAAAAAGTTCCAACTATTTTGCACAATCCTCCAAAAAGTGCACGGTTCGAGAAGCAGGATCGTGCTATAATAGTAAGGGGAAAGTGCGGTTTGACCGGGAAAAATTGCGTAACAAACTTTCCCAATGTAATCGTCATCAGTAGGTCCCCCTGAACAACTTCCTAAAAGTTAAAAATGGCCCGACCCCGGAATACCCCTCAAAAAAGTTAAAATTGAAAATGGCGGCCGTAATAAGAGGGTCCGGGAAATCGGTATTTTAAAATGCTCATTCTGTCTCATCATGTGAGGTATCATTTCCTATGTAATTTTGGTCGCAGATTTCATAAATGAATTCCACAAGGCCCTCCGGCCAAAGGGGGCGCTCTAAATCAAAGGTGGCGGCCAAATGTGAAAGGCAAGAGGTTGCATTTTTTTAATATTCACCGAAGGAACAAGGAAAGTGAATTGTCTTTATTTTCATGTATTTATGGCCAAGATGCCAAACTTAAATTTGATGTTATAAATGTATTTAATAAAGGAAAATAAAGGAAACATACGACTACCGAGAGAAACGTAAGCTTAGAAGGGGCCTTGCGGAATTCATTTATGAAATCTACGACCAAAATTACATAGGAAATGATACCTCACATGATGAGACAGAATGAGCATTTTAAAATACCGATTTCCCGGACCCTCTTATTACGGCCGCCATTTTCAATTTTAACTTTTTTGAGGGGTATTCCGGGGTCGGGCCATTTTTAACTTTTAGGAAGTTGTTCAGGGGGACCTACTGATGACGATTACATTGGGAAAGTTTGTTACGCAATTTTTCCCGGTCAAACCGCACTTTCCCCTTACAATTATAGCACGATCCTGCTTCTCGAACCGTGCACTTTTTGGAGGATTGTGCAAAATAGTTGGAACTTTTTTTGAAACTGAGGAAGTTCTGATGACATTTGCATCCTCAACACTTGCCTACAGTTCGTTTACACCTCTTTCGACTTATTTTCGTGAAAAATGAGTCTTTTACACCTCTACTTTCTAAGACCTCGGAAATTCTGAGGACCAAAAAAATAAATACCGAGTTGAGTTTTTCTAGTTCAATTTGATTTTTATCGGTTACAAAGACGTCTTCCTAGTGTAAAATTTCATCCTCTACAAGTCGAGTTCTTTGGCATTTTTCTCGTAAACGCACGATTTCAGCGTAAAATCGAGTTTTTTGTGCGAAATCGAGGTCTAAACCAAAATAGCATAATTTCATCACAAAATTGACCTTTGGCACCATTTAAAATGGTTGAAATTGGCCCAAATTTTGGCAAACATGTTTTTTTACCAAACGTCATTGATTGCCGCCTGGGGAGCGGAACATTTCAGAATTTCATTTTTTTTGACGCACCCTAGGGTAAGCTGCCCGTCCCGCGTTACCCATGATATGCGTTCGGTGAGGAGAAAGAACCTGGGCACTATGATGAAGGGGCAAGGGGTACACGAAAGAGGAGAGGCACCAGCGCGCGGCGCAGAGCGGAGCGTGAGCATTGGGTTCGGAGACGAGTGCGGACCGCGCTCGCGGAGGGAACACAGCAGAGAGAAAAGGGAGGGGAAAGAGAACGAGAGAGGAGAGCCGCTCATCAGTCCAGCTGTTTCCTATAGCAGTGGTCCGCAGGTGTCTGCGAACCGCCGAATTTCCTCTATGCCGATTCGCCCTCCGCTCCCCCCCCTTGCGCCTGCGGGCAGCGCGCGGGCCGCATCTCCCAGTTCCCCAGTCTCCCTCTCCCACTTCTCTCTGCAGGTGCGTGTTGCGGAACTACGCTATCATTTAAAAAAATAAATTAAAGGAAAACGATCAGAAAAAAGAACAACATTTCAATGACAATTAACTGGCACAATTTTCACCAGAAAGGGTTAAAATCGTGTTCTTGCGGCTTCATTTTTTAAAAGGTTCCGGGGAGGTCCCCCGAACCCCCCTTCGAGGGATGGGAGTGAACCCCTCTGACCTCCCCCCCTAAAGTTAACACTCCCACCAAACGCCTACCGGAAATAGTCACGCCACACCACTGGCGGACGGATGTTCTTTGTATCGGTTGTGTAGTCTACTGATGTAGACTTCGATTTTCTCGATCCATAGTTCGGAATAGATAGCTTCGTTACTGAGATACCATGGAGCCTTTAAAATTTTCTCTAGTGTTAAATTTTGAATAATTTTTATTTGTTTTATAATTGGCTTGGCTGCACGGGCCCAGATGTGGCATGCACAAGATCATATTGGTCATACATAACATAACATTTTGGTACATAACATTTTGCGTACCTTAATTTCAATTTGTTTTCTTTTATTGAGAATATGTTACTTATATCTTAAATTTAGAGTCAAGAGTAAGTCAAAGATATTTTGCTGTCGTGGCAAAGGAAATAGGTGTATTGTTTAAAATTAAAGGTTCAAACATAATTTTTTATTTTGTGAAGACTGCATTCTCCGATTTTGAAGCATTCAGAACGCTTCCCGCTCAATCGGTTCAGCCTTTAATGTCCCTTAGCAAACTTTGCGAAATAAATTTTGAAAACTAGTGTATCTAACATGACTGTACCGATTGTATATGTAGATTTTAGATTTTATTGTTCAAGCTTTGATTTATCTGTCGATTTGCCAATCAATTTCGATGAATTGAGAACTTTAAAATTTTATGTCCTTTTTTCTCTTTTACATTTTCCAAGGACTTGAACATTTTTGGTCTACGGATCAATATTTTGGACCTAGGATATTGTGCAAAATGATCCTTACTGCCGTTTCATTTAAAAAAAAAGAAGGTTTAAGTGACTCACATTTTGTGAAACATGTAAATCATCGTTTCTCTTTCGACAAAGGTGTACAGGGGTAAGAAAAGAACATTTTTGTCACAAAAGGCATAAGTGACACCCATTGTGTACGAAAGGTGTAAGTTACTTGTTTATTTTTTTAAAAAGGCTTACGTGACCCATTCCCTCCAAAAAAGGTGTATGTAACGGTTTCAGGAAGTACAGGGAAAATTGAGCGATCCTTTTGGATAAAATAGGTGGTTGTTATAGACTAGGGGAGGATATGATGGACTAAATGTAGGGTGGTTATGCAAGCTGATTGCGGTAGATGCACAAGTCGTTTAGACAGGAAGTTGGAAGTGTAGCCAGTGTGGGTTACAATTTAGTAAACTGAAAATCTCAATACAGGAGGAAAAAGGAAAAAACATTCAAGCACAATTTTTCCTCAAAGAGATATGCTATTTGGTGCAACACTAGTTATGACCATTCAAAAAGGCAATTGTAGACGCGTTTTGGGTCTAATTGGACCCATCATTAGTGCTCTACAGTCTCCTGAATTTTCTGCTACCATGCTTGGAGAGGTCGTGAATACCAGCCCTAGACTTGGGCAAGCGACCGCGGTGACAAGTGAACTTGTTCCATCCAGTGAGCAAGTATCCTAACAGCTCCGCATTAAGCCTGGCAAGGCAGTTTTTACCATTTGATTGCGGTAGATGCACGAGTCATTTAGGCAGTAAGTTAGAAATGCAGCCAACATGCGTTACAATTCAGTAAACTGAAAATCCCTTCGTCTCTCCTGAATGGTCATAACTAATGTTGTACCAAACAGTATATCTCTCTCAGGGAAAATTGTGCTCGAATGAGCTTTTTCCCTCTGTGTTGAGATTTTCAGTTTACTGAACCGTTACGCACGTTGGCTACATCTTCAACTCTCTCACTATGGGGGTTCTCATTAGTTAGTCTCCTATTTGCCTCTTTTCTCCGTCGCAATCACTAGCCTCCGACCGTAGGATCGCTCTATTTTCCCTTGGTCCATAGCTTCGTCTATCAGCTTCAATAATCAGCCTGTAGAGAGAAGTTATGTGAGTGCAACACCATGAGACTACACTATGCAATTATTATGTCTTCGAAGATACGTCTAGTTTATGTGCTCTTTCATGTAATCAGTTCTGCAGGAGTTATCCATTCTGTTTGCCAGTCTTTCAGCATTTGCTCTTTAATTTCAATTCCATCTGCTTCTACCTTTACGTCCCTTCTTTCTTGAACTGGGAGGTGTCTAGATGGAATCCCCATGATGAAGTCTAACGCCTTACCGATCACTTTTTCCATAAGCCATCACCACTTATAGCTTCAACAGCCTGAGAACTGACTTGTTCCCTCACTTTCTTTTTCTCAAACACTCAGCCTCACACAGAGATGGCATAGAGAACCACCGAAAGACGTTGAAGTAATATCTCCTCCTAGAAAGTGTAGGGCCTCTTTTCTTGGATATGAGACTAAGTATGGGTTGTGATGTTGTTGCTTTTTTCTTTTTTTTCTTTTTTTTCTTTCTTTCATACTGATTTTTTCGAAGGTGTTTTTCAAAAGTGAAGTAAGTTTCTCACCCAGTCATACTCTCAGATGTCTTAACAGCTGGGATAAGATACACCAAAGTGTCTCAAACTCTCTTGCAGACAGTCCTATCTTCACTAGGCCTTGAAAGGAAGGACAGCCTCAGTCTTCTCCAACGTCTTCCCCAATTTTTATCCCGCCAGATCCTCCGCTATGCCATCCGCATCCGGTTCATGTTCCAAGCTAGCTTTCCTCTCTTGTCTCCTTTTCCAATTTCGGTTGGATCATTTGCAAATGCAATATTTTCTAAATCTAGGCTGCATTCCCTGTCCGCAATATCATCGTGCAAGATGTTCCATTGGAGGAATGACAGGCAAGGTTCTTTTACTTTCACCTTCCGTGTAGTGCAAAGAATGCCCTTCCACTCGCATCACTTCAAATGAAACTGTTGCATGAATAAATGGGTCCGAGACAAGCAAAGTGGGCAATTTATGAAACTGCATCTTTTTAATTATTAGATAATGACCTTGTATGGAAAAAAAAGGAAGAAATGAGTTCTCTTTATTAATACTTGACATAATTTTGTCTTGTGTGCCTAAGTTTGATCGATTTTTCTGTTTCATCAAAGTATTTGAGAACCAAGACAAAATGGTCTTAGTTATGGAGTATGCAGCAGGAGGTGAATTGTATGAGTATTTAAATGAGAGGAATGTACTGACAGAAGAGGAGGCTAGACGTATCTTCAGGCAAATTTCTACAGCTATCTATTATTGCCACAAGGTTTGTTTTTCTTATTTTAAAGTTTGATTAGTTCCCGTTTTAAGCTTCGTAACACGTTCACTGCCATCCTATCGTAATAGAAGAGAATAGACAGGATACAAATTAAAGCACCATACAAATTTTTTTTCATCGCAATTCTATGCTGAACATGTTGAACACATTGAACAAGCTCAAAATTAACTGATGAATAAGATATAAATGTTTAATTATATTTCACATTAAAGCAAGGTATTTAAAGGTCCTGCTCGCGAAAAAACATAAATCAAAATACATAAGATCAGTCTTCAAAGAAGCCTCTGTCCTCTGTAAAACTGGGATCAATCATTCAAAAGACTCTTAGAAATTGTCTGGATGATTGAAATTTGACCAATTTTCATTTTCAACTGTATAAAAAGGGTCTTCTTCATCTTTATATCAGGTAAGACAGCCATAAGTGCTATCTTCTGTGTGTTTTTGTGATTTCGTTTAGAACACACAACAAACAAATTCTAAGGTTAGAGGTTGGCAGGGAAGGGCACCGTTTTACTTAAAAAGCCTAGCTCCTTGGCAGAATAATACCCCGTGCCGTTATTTTTTCTGGAACATTAAATATTGTGCGCTTTCAGCTTTCTCATAGGTCCCGTTTTTGTACAAATAAGACACATTTTGCTGTTTGAGCTGCATCAGTGAGTTCATGAAAATTAGATCAGAAACATTTGAAGGAAACTTGTTTTAGAAAATTTAAGCGTTATGGCTGTCTTTCGTAAAATGGCAGAATAGTTCCGTATATCAAACTCTAGTCCGACTGGACTACATTTTGCAATTAGGAACTTCGATTTCTGGCTCCTCCGCAAAAAAACTTATGTATAGAGAAACTGATGTAACATATGCTGTTCCTAAATTAAGCCAGAAATTGTAGTTCTGGACTGCAAAATGCAGTCCAATCATTCCATACTACAGAACACTAAACTGACTATACAGAGTTTAGAACACAATCACATTGTGCAATGTGTGTGGCTTGTCTGTGGAAATGCTTAAGTGGATACCCAGCTGATAAAATGTTTCAGACCTCTTGAGGTCTTTTTCAAACAAATTCTTTCAAGCCTACAAATTAAGATTCGATCAAATTTCAAGAATTGAAACTTATTCTCTAGAAATCTCTAAAATGATGCCTATAAGGGTCATCCATGGAGTGAGTTTAAAGATTTTATAGCTTCCAAATTTTAATCAATGAAGACAATCAGTAAAGAATCTATTAAAAGCACTACCCGCAGATTTCTGACGAGCTTTAGTGCATTAAATTTATCCTTCTAGCACTGTAGAAAAATTGATCTTCCTAAAAGCTTTTCCTTCTTCAGCACGTGCATCATCATGATAACGATTCAGCCAATCAAGGCCTCAGCAAGGGTGAATAACATTTTAGTCAATTCCAGTTCAAATGAAACCAAGGCTCAAATTGAACACAATTAATCTTGTACTGTAATAGCAAGGAAATTTGCTCTGCTATATTTCACATGAAATTCGACCACCCATAAGTCATTTACATGCATTAAAACACTTGACGCAGCAGCTCACATCCTGGTGACCCTCTGTTAAATTGTATACCCTTACAGAAAGTGGACACATCCGGTGGCCTCAACTTTTTAAAGACGCCATCGGCCCAAATTTTATATTTTGAAGCTTGCCAGGATGCTGAAAGTAGTGACTTTAAGGTACTTTTTACTGGTTGCCTTTATCTCTGATCATTCAGAAGATATCATATCTTCAAGCTTCCTGTTTAGACAAGTCTCCTGTCTTCCTCACTTTGTAAAGGCTTAAATTGCTTTAGATAATTTAAGTATTAAATCTTCACTCTTCTTTTGTTCCAGCACAAAATTTGTCACCGTGATCTCAAATTGGAAAACATATTATTGGATGAACATGGGAGTGCGAAGGTAAGAATGTAAGGGGGAGAGAAGGTGTTGAATCTAGTTGACAGAGTTTATTGATACCGAATGTATAGGGCAAAGTCCAGGATTTACTCCTAGGACAAGTTCCAGAAATTACTTAAGGCATTTTAAAAAGCAAAGTCAAGTTGGTATTACCAACCTAAAAGCTAGTTCAACAGTACCAGCAGGATTGCATTCTATGTTTTCCCCCGTGTTGAGTTAATTAACAGCATTGAAATTCACTAGGAAATAATCGGATTATTATTTATAATATGCTCATGATGAACACGTGTCAACAGTAGAAAACCGAAATATATTTACCTAACTTAGAAGTATTAGTATCAGTTGTTTTGACTTGACATTCTCCCCCGTTGAACTTTGCTCTAAAGGGTTATTATTAATATCAAAATATTTTATTAAAACATGACATTCATTTTATCAGTGATTAGTTAGTATATTCAATCCGTGAGTGTATTGTATTTTCACCTTCCGACTGAGAAATTGGGCTATTGAGCATGCCTTTGTTACACCGTCTAAGTTACAGCACATCAGGCGTAGATACTCTTCATTCAGCAACAGTAAACTGTTCCTATGCAAATATTGTCCTGTTTCTTGTCGTCATTTTGAAAATTTTCTGCTAATTCATCCTAATTTTTCACATGGCAATGATTTTAAAGCCACGACGCTTGGGGTAATGCTGTTAAATTCTGCTTGTCTGCAGGATTCCAGGTACCTCATGAGGAGATTTTTCACGACTATGCCTCAATTTATTTGATGAACTGGGAACGCATCATTTGCCATATTTTTCTGGCTACTTCAAGTAAAGAGAAAGTAAATTTGAAGTGAACCTCAGGGACTTTTTCATTTCCTGAAGTTTATCATTACATTTACAGAGAATACTGCCTCTTTGAAAACCTTAACCACACGAAAAACCATTGGAAAAAACGTTGGCAATGGGAAAAGAGTGCAGTACACGATTCTAACACGATTTTGAGAGTCTAGGTCGTTTTCGTTGAATTCAGTTGATCAAACGTTGCAGTTCACGATTATTTTTGCGTTATAAACTTCTTTTTATCTTCTTGTTCATGTTCATCATCATCTTCTTCGTCTTCTCCTTATTATTCTCATTCCTCTGCTCCCTCTTTTCTTCCATTGTGTTCCATTCTATTCCGAGGAATTGCACTGCTTCTTCCGTATTTAAATACTTAATGCTCTTGAAAGCTGTCGAGACTCTTGAAGTAAACTGTGGATATTTAACGTCCATTTCCACAGGTCATTAGGTGTCAAGATTTTTTCAACTTCTGATTGTAATATTTTGTCTTCATTTACACTTACTCCTCACCCAAAAAATCATTCAGGTAAGAAGAGGACCAATTGCTTTCTGTTATACTTGGTATTTTGAAACCTCACGTTTAACTTCTTCTTGTAAAGACTTCATTGCCCGACAGGGGGTGCACTTAGCTCGTAAGATTCGCTTGGCAACGTTTATGTCGATGCTTCAACCATGGATATGAAATGTAACTGAGCTGGTGAGTCAAAAATTGCCTTATCAGTGTGGTAGCAACTAGAATCGTTGGAAAGTTTGTTAGGAGTTTGAGAGCTTATTATTTGAATTTTGCTTACAACTGTACCAATCAGCTTCCTCATGCAACTGTGTCATTGCACTGTAGCACTATTTCTCGAAATTCAGAAGTTTGCCATCATGTCCGTTATTACCATACAATTCCTAAAAAGTTCTAATATACCTATGTCGGCAATATTTGTGCAGAGTTTTCACATCCAATTTTCATCTCGGCAACATTTGGTCCATTCATCTTGACCGATTGTGACAGCCCATCTAATTGATACTTTATTTGTCTCTTCGCAATTTTTACATCTTCCTTTTCTGCACTAAATCTCTCGGGTTGAGAAGAACTTCTCTCAGGTGCACCAGCTTGAGTAACCACTCTTGAATTCTGTCATCTGCATTTCCCTCTTCCTTAGTAAAATGTAACTCTTGTCACCTTAGTATCACCGCCAGTCAGCTAAGTTTTGCGTGGGCTCCTTGAATTTCCAAATGAACACATGATCGCAACAACTAAAATTTTACATTCTATCTTGCCATTCCGCATATTGACTCTAGTATTATTTATTTTATTTTATTATTTTATTACTGCTCACTTTCCTTCAACCTTGATCTTATAACTCATACACTTCATACGTCTCAGATTATAACCTCATTAACATTTTCTGCTCACTTAAGTCACGCTTTTCCTTCTCACTCAGATTTATACTATTTCTTCTCATTCAGGTTATGCTTTATCTTCTCACGTACGTCTTCTACTCTTAAATTGGCGTTAAGCCTTGTACAGCAAACGCTTGTGCATATCTTACACAGACAGAGAGGAAAAGCTCTAATTATTTGGTTAAAAGCCATCACCATCAAAAACTCACTGCATCCCTTTTTGAGACGGAGAGCAAAAACTCATTGCATCTTTAACCTCTCTATTTTTTAAGTAGGGCTCGCTTTTTGAAATTACTCGAATGTACCATAGTGCAGCACACCGATCAACCAATGCTATTCAGCGGGTTGTCCAAATATTTTTTTCCTGGGACTCGTTTTTTTGTCTTTGAACCGTTATACTGTCAAGCCCTGATGGTCTTTTACCAAAAAACCGAATGAACTGCTAATTGGAAACCCTTGAGAACATTTTCCTGTCAAAACTGTATTATTTCAACTGACAGAAACCTCACATAAGCTTTTCTACGCTCGGAGGACTCAACTTTAGAAGCTTCTTTCCCGCCAAAACTTTTTAGCCAATGAGCATCTTGCGCCGTAAATGCAATCTTTGATGAGCCTCACGACTCATTATACATGTACTAACTGTGGCCCCTGCAGAAATCCACTTTGGTAAACCACTGCAGTTATCTTCCGATATTGCTTTGGGTGTCCGGTTTCAAGCAAGCCAATAAGAGATGGTGAGGCAAGAGTCGCCTCGCTGCCGTCGAACCTTATCTTTCACGCCTGATTAACCATTCACCGTGTCGCCAGGATCCACCAAATTTTCCCAAAAATTGTTTTCTGTCTATTCAGCGAGTTTGTCCAGGCATATTAGATCAAAAATCGGCGATTAGAAAAAAAAATTTATATATAAGGTTTTATGTGCCCAAGTTGTTCATTGGGGTGTCAGGGACTCCCAGCAAAAAGTCCCCAAGAATCCCCTGTACGCTCGACCCCCCGCCCCCCAAAACCCCCAAAAAATCGACCTTTCCTCGGTTTTTCGTAAATATCTCTATAAGAATTGGTTTTAGCGAAAAATGAGTTATTTAGTGAATGAAAGTTCATAAAATTTCCAATAAAAATGA